GGGGCAGCGGTTTCTCCTTCCCCTCCATCAGCCAAGCCGGGGGCACTGGACAGATCCGGGCTCTGAGCATTACAGCTGCAGCCGGAGTAAATACACATTGTGCAGCACCATTGTCACCATTGGACAGAAATATCAGTCATCAGGGGCATCCCCCTGTAGGGGCTTCCTACGGGGACCATCCAGCATTGCCTGAGTGGGGGCTGATAGGCCTTTATCTTCTCTGCTCTGTCACCTGGTGGTCTCAGGGGCTCTGCTGTCCCGGTAGTGTCTCAGATAATTGCTTGCAGGAAGGCAAGGTATACTGTTTTCTTCCCTTCACACCTGTATCCTCCCATTTTGGTTCCTTCCCTCTCCCTGAAGAGTGGCTGCCAGAGCCCATGATTCACTGCAATGCCCAGAGCTGTGTGAATTCGTCCTGTAACATTAGTCTGAGCTGCACTGTCCCCAACAGAGGCAGGAATGTGGCCTGCAGCTGGAGCACCCCACAGTCCCCCAGTATGACCAGTCAAGGATCCATTGTGATCATTACTCACCCATATCTTCTTATAAACATCACGTGCACAGTGCAGAACCCCGCCAGCAACAGCACCACGATGGCCTCTGTAAAGGCCCTTTGTGCAGATAACATGCCCTGTGGGGAAGCTACATGCAGCCCACACCTGGGGAAAATGGGCCTCATGGTGCAGGCTGTTGGGGGGCCACAAGGTACCCGATTCCAGGCAGATGCACCACTCTCCACCCCAAATCCCTCCCTTGCAGATTTGCTCTGACCCTCTTACCCAGGCAGACACATGCACCATCTCTGTGCAGGGAGGGCCCAGACCATGGAACTTCCTGCAGGGCTCCTCCTGCCCCTGGAAGTACCCCAGGGGCTGGCCCTATCCCCGCTGCCCCTCAGGGCAAAAAGCATGGGGAAGCACCAGCCCCTTCCCCCTGGCTCTGACCCTCTGCCTTGCTCTTATTCCAGCAAACGCGTCTGCCCAGGTCTCATCACTGTCCTACTGCCAGGCCAAGGGGCTCATCCTGCTGTTGGTGCTGGGGGTGCTGATCACCGGGACTGTGGCAGTGCACATCATGGCTGGCAAGCCGCCGAAACAGGACTGAGCAGGGCCCAGCCCACACCAGCCCTGCTCGCCCAAACAGGACTGAGCAGGGCCCAGCCCACAGCAGCCCTGCTCCACTCCCGGAGAGAAGGATGGGGGAGGCTGCAGCACGGAGGAGAAGCAGCCGGTGGGCTGCGGGGTCTGACTATGAGTGTCAGAGACCAGTTCCTAAAGCAGCACGGGCGCCCTGCAGAAGTTTCACCCCATCGCTGCCTCCTCCCCTGCCCAGGGGGCCAAACGATCAGGACCCCAGTCTACAGGGCAGTCACTGGCTGGGCTCAGGGGCACACAGACATGGGCAAGACACAGCACCGCTGTCCCGGGGGCAGCTGCAGCCTCTACACAAACTTTCCCTCCTCTGCGCTGTCTGCCTCTGAACCCTCAGGGTCAATTCTCCCCCCACGCCCCAAGAGTCCCATGAGGTTGCACCATGGCCCCCAGGACTTGTTCAGCCATCAGCATTGTGGGTGCCAACGTCTCTGTAAGGCAGGCTTTCCACTGGCAGGGGTAATGCCCAACCCCCCAATTTCTCTTTTGGAACAAACCCAGCCCAGCCCCATCAGGGGGGAGCTCCCAACAAGCCTTGCTGCCTGTCCCCACACTTCCCGCCCCTCCTTGAAAGTCTGCCTCCACTGCACCCACCCCGGTGGCTGGCCTGACCCCTGCTCCTGCTCCTCCACCAAGGCAGGGCACTGCTCTACTGCTGGGCCAAGGGGCTCGTCCTGCTGCCACTGGTCCTGGCTCCCAGGCTTTACACCAGCTGGGACCCAGGAGCAGAGACCCTGCAGGGTGCTCTGTTGGGACCCAGAGGCCTTCACGCCTGGGTTGTGACCTTTGTGATTGACTTATGCTCCATGCTTTGCTTGAATTGTGGTCTAGACAAGCAGCCAGTGAAAGGACCAGGTGGAAAAATACTGTCCAAAAAGCAATTGAGAAGTTGACTTATTAAATTGAATAAATATATCCTGGACAAAAGAGCAAACCTACCCCGAGCTAAGAATGCAAACATCACCCGGGAATAGAGAATCCCATTTAAAAGTAGCCGTATTTAAGGGCACGGACCCTTCTGTACCTAGTCCTGGTGATCCAGTCACCGATCCAAGATCCAGAACTCGGACGAAGGAGTCGGGAACCTTGGACAAAACATCTCAGATGGCCATCCAGTGACGTCACCTCTGTTCAGTCTTGGGGTGGGGAGCATCTTTTTTTGCTTTTGACTAACTACATTTCTAAGATTATAACTGCTGAGAATGCTTCGTTTTTCGTTGAGGGTTGTATATGAAACAATTGAATAAACTTGCTTCTAGTTTAGGAAACCGTGTATCCGTACCTGGTACAAGACCCAATACAGCGTCACTGGATGCAGCAGTGTCCCCCCACCCCCGTGCACTCGTGTCACCAGGGGCACTGCTGTCCCTGCATCCTGACCATTTCGGAGCGCAGAGGGACTGATGCTGTCCCCAGGAGGAGGACGGCTCCAGCCTCAAGCTCCTCCTGCCTCTGCCTGGCACTCAGACAGCAGTTGCCAGTCCTGGAGACCCCCCAGCAGAGCCCGGCCTGGTGCCAGCAGGGTGGGCACTACATCGCTGCCTGGCACAGCCCCAGGGCCCCCCGCCGGCAACCCTGCCCCTGCCTAACCCCTGTCCCCCTGC